CCCGCTTAAGGCTGATTTATACTTCTGCGTCAAACACCGGCGTATGCTACAGCGCTAACGCATAGCCCTTCGCCGTGGCCGTCGCCGTCACTGACGTGCACCTCTCAAAAAATGTAACTAAACGTCGCAACGACGCGTAGCGTAAGCTCTGTGATTGGTCGGCTTGGTAGCGCTGACGAGTCTGGGTGGGACCGAGAGCCGCGCGAATGGCGCGACGCCGCGCGAGCGATTGTTTACAAGTGTGGAGTCCCGTGAAGGAGCTCCGGATGGAAAGTTTTGTTTTGTGTTTACCTCATAGTTAAAGTTGTTGCACGTCCGCCGGTTCCTGCCTCAAAATGAGCGAGTTTGAGCCACTTGTACATCCCGGAAGTGTTCAGGAAAAGCAAAAAAGCAGAGAAGAAACTCGACACAGAGGAACATTTACACCTCACTGCCAACTAGCGTTTCGGAAGTGTTAATGCAGACCGACAGAGACAGCGCGCAGAAGTATAAATGCACAGCCACGCGCGGTGCATGCGCTGTGGGTTACGCCGGTCACCTGACGCAGAAGTATAAATCAGGCTTTACTTTCCTAAACCCAACCAACGATTTACAAAAGCCTTCCAGAAAAAAAAGCCCTCGTCTAATTTTTACCATGTTTTCAGATTTTACCACATTCTCACACTGTTATTTACTTGTTCATTTTATTTTTTGGATTCTGTTTTTGTCTGACCTGATTCATGGAACCGCTCTTCCTCGGACTCGAACCCCATCGTCGTCGTGGTCAGCTCCTCTCTGTGTCTGCCGACGTACATGACGAGTTAACAAAACAAACTGGTTGTGATGGGAAAGCCCTCTACACGGAGGTAAGCGGTCAGCTGGTACAGTGTCATACCATCCCGTATCGTTCCTTTAAAAATATTAAATGTAGCCATACAAACCTCCAAATACATAATTCGTGGTCTCCAGAAACGTCCACGGGACTAATTTTTTAGAGTAAGCCTGTGTTGCATATCATACTCCAGGACTACAACTCCCATCACTCATTGCATCACTCAACCTGCCACAGCTGATAGTAATCTGGACACACACACACACACAGCTGAAGATCACTTTCTTACGCTGATTACCTGGACTATTTAAACAACACTAGCTCACTCTCCTGTCTCCTGAGTCTTTTCAGTTTGTTGCTACATTACAAAGTGTTTTCCTTGTCTTGCCTTGCCAGTGTTTTCACAGTTGGACTTTTTATCCTATCTTTGATTCTTTGCCACCTCTTTTCCTCTTTTAGGCATTAAACTCGTAGATTGTTGTAGCTGGTTTTTGACTATTTTAATAAACTGCATCTGAATCTATCATCATGTGCCCCCCTTCGCAACACATTCGCTTTTGATATCGATTTTTTATTTCTGCTTAAACAGAGCAGATAAGTATAACCTAAGGGTCTGTACATACAGTATGTACCTATTGTACAAATTTAGATGGTTCAATGTTTTTGAATTTTCAATTTCTTTAATACTTTCTGGAACTGGAGCCAAGAAATTTATGGAGCCCTGTGATAAAGAAATGCACTTAACTGGATTGAATGGGAACTTGAAGTGTACTTTAAAATCTTACAGTAAAAACATTCAAATAAAAGTACTTGCAAATAATATAATACTAATGCAATAAAGAAGCCTCTCAACTGTATTTAAAGAGTAAACTGTCATGTGTTTTACACTTTTGAATGCTCTGTGAAGTAATGTGAAATGATCTAAATACTGTGAATGAAGTGTAAAATGACCTAAAATGTTTTCTCGATTTTACAATAAATTAGGTGCACTTTGTAAATAACTTTTCCGAAAAAGTAGATTTAATTTATAATTAAATTTTCTTTAAATATATACTTTTTTAAAAAGCAACGTGTCAAAACTCTCCATATTAGATTAAATGTAAAAATAAATATGCCATACATCACATTACCTCAAGATTCTAATTACAGTAGATTGTGTTGAGGGATCAAGGCATCAGGTCATTTATTGCAGTCTGTATGCCAAACCGGGACCTCAGGGGACAACCGGTGAACTGGCTGCACAGTCTAAAAGAAGGACGTGAGAGATTAATGGCAGTGGTGATGAGATACAACAGCCATCAGATATTTTCTTGTTCATCACTCTCCGTCAGCAGTGTTGGGGTGTCACGCTCCTCTTATCCAGCCTCTCCTGCCGTATGTCATCATTGCGTCAGTGATTGGACGACAGCTGCTGATGAGTCAAGAGGAAGCGTGAGGTTATACTTCCAAACCAATGTGAATTACTTTCATCAAAACTGCTGTGCACTTTCATCTGGCTGCCACGACAGATGAAATGCTGTGAGGCTATCAACAAAAACGTAGAGATAATACATATTTTCCATTCATATGAATGTGACAGCATGAGGATAAACAACATCTGCTTACCTTGCTGCTGCCTTTAACTTGCTCACTGGTCCGACGTTATAATCTGTGCATTAACTTTCTTTTGTTCATTTTGAGAGACTACAGACACACACACACACACACACACACACACACACACACACACACACACACACACACACACAGACACACACACGCACATACATTATATATATAATTATTAATGGTAATAATAATTACAGCAATAATGTCTGGAGTAATATTTTCATTTAAAACTACATTAAGTAATAAATAAATATTTAATAAATAAATATTTAACATTTTTAATATTAAATATTTAAATATTTAACTTTTTTTTAAGAAATACCACCTTGATTAACAGAATAATTTTATTTAAGTTATTAAATAAAATTAATAATTAAGAAAAAACTGACCCCAAACTTTTGACCGGTAGTATATATATATATAT